AATTCTGGTTCTGTCTAGAGGGGATGAGAATGCTGCATTACTTACCTTACCCTGGCTCTGGTGCTCTCTTCTTCTTGTGGTGCTCTAGGCCAGAACTTTTCATCCATGGTGCTTTTAGGGTTCTTCAAGGGTGCCTTGGCAAAATGTCTAATCATTGCCCCAAAATTGTATACAGGTGGATGAAGCATAATGCCTTTGGCTGATGTTGGGCAACTGCACAGCATCCTTGTTTGCCCCTTTCTGTCATCACTGGGGTCACACTAGCAGAGTGAGGGAGAGAAACTGAGGGAGAAGAGAAACATTGGAATGCTATGCGTTATCAGTGTGCAATGGTGTGTTTGCTTTGTAAGGGCCCTTACACACTTATCAGTTTTAATTCCGTTTTTGCCTTACCAAAAGCGAAAAAAATGCATGACCAATAAATCCAATGGAGCTCTTCACATCGGTAAGTTGCAGTTCAGTTGTGTTTTTAAAAGTCCTGCTTGCTGCATTTTTGGTGTGGTAAAAATGCACTTCCTCACTGAAATATATATAAAACACATCAAAAATGCACCCGTGGTTGCAGTTTTGGTGCATTTTTTGAGTCACGTGTCACTGGAAACGCAGCAGAAATGTATATGTGTTTCTACCAAGTTTTTGCAACTGAGCAGTGTGAAAGCAGCTTAAAAAAGACTAAACCGACGCTGACATTGGCTGCCCTACATGTGTGGATGTTGCTGCATTAGGTGTAACAATGTGCACTGTTATTGTAATGCAGATTTACAGGTGCATCTCAATAAATTAAAAAAGCATCAAAAAGTTCATTTATTTCAGTAATGCAATTCAAAAAGTGAAACTCATATATTCTATAGATTCATTACATACAGGGTAATATATTTCAAGCATTTAATTTTAATTTTGATGATTCAGGCTTACAGCTAGTGAAAACCTTAAATTCAGTAACTCAGAAAAATGAGAATATTACATAAGACCAATAAAAGGATTTGAATGCATAAATGTTGGCTTACTGAAAAGTACATCCGTGTACAGTACAGTATAGCATGCACTTGGTCGAGGCTCCTTTTGCATGAATTACTGCATCAATCTGGCATGGCATGGAGGCGATCAGCCTGCGGCATTGCTGAAATGTTATGGAAGCCCAGGTTGCTTTGATAGCGGCCTTCAGCTTGTCTGCATTGTGGGGTCTGGTGTCCCATCTTCCTCTTGACAATGCCCCACAGTCCTACCAAATATGAAGGTATGTCCCTCTCTCACCGTGACAGTTCTCACAGATTTCGTTAGAGGAGGGGAAGATTCTGTGAATGGATACCCGGATCCTGATACCACCTAGAGAACAATTTAAAGTTTTTCTCTTGAGCAGAAATTGAAGATTGATGCACCTGTATATTTGATCACAAGATGGTAGTGTGTAATATTTTTGCTCTTCATAGTCCCAATACAGGTGTGCAGAGACGGCTGGGATCCGTATGCTGAAAGCTGAACTTTCTTCACAGGGAAGCTGGGAGGGAACTACATGAATCCTCAGCAGGTGGATGGGAGAACATAAAAGTAAAAGCCCGGGAACACAACGGGGGGTGTTGGTAAGAGACTTGGCTGTCTAAGGAGCAGTGTGTGTGTTCTGGGAAGGCTGTCCACAAGGTTTAGGAGTGTGTCTATGGGAATGTTTGACCATTTTTCAGAAGTGCATTTGTGAGGTCAGGCACTGATGTCTGACAAGAAGGCCTGGCTCGCAGTCTCCACTCTAATTTATCCCAAAGGTGTTCTATAGGGTTGAGTACTATGTGCAGGCCAGTCAAGTTCCTCCACCCCAAACTTGCTGTTTGGTCTTCACCATAGTGGAGTTTGGAGTGTGACTGTTTGAGGTTGTGGACAGGTGTCTTTTATACTGATAAGTTCAAACAGGTGCCATTGATACAGGTAATGAGTCCAGGACAGAGGAGCCTCTTAAAGAAGAAGGTACAGGTCTGTGAGAGCCAGAAATCTTGCTTGTTTGTAGGTGACCAAATTCTTATTTTCCACCATAATTTGCAAATATATTCTTTCCAAATCAGCCAATGTGATTGGCTTTTTTTTTTAATTTTGTCTCTCATAGTTCAGGTCTACCTATGATGCCAATTACAGGTCTCTCTCATCTTTTTAAGTGGGAGAACTTGCACAATTGGTGGCTGACTAAATACTTTTTTGCCCCACTGTGTGTGTATATATATATATATATATATATATATATATATATATCAATAACACAACAGAGAGATAAAGGAAGAAGTTTAAGAAGGTAGAATACTTGCAGAAGTCCTGGTTTAAGCAGAGTCCAAGTGTCCTGAACAAAAGGGTGCCTTTTCTCCCAAAGTTTGTTCCTGATGTTAAAAAGGAGAATCTCTTCATCTTACTCTCCAAGCATGACAGCCTTTTTTTCTAGGAACACAGCAGGGTTTCTCCTTAAAGCAGAGAACCAATTGCCTCATTTGGGGAGGGGTGTTTAGGCGGGAACTCAGGCTATGACCAAATCCCTCCCACATTTATACCATGGCCAATAACCTTCACTAGGTACATGTAGCAGCCTAGCCAGTGGTAGATTAATATGCAGAATGATATCCTGAACGTCCAGACATCAAATATGACATATCTTACTGTCCCAGATAACATATTGCTTACTAGTCTCGTGTAGGTGCCACATAGAGGTGTAATGTGTCAGGAGACTCGTATTAGACTGACCTATCTGAATATATGCTTTGTTTTATTGTACCTTGTTCCTGTCGGGATTTATGAATTTGTATGAAAAAGTGGTTTCAAGTGGGATGTATGTTTTACTGCCATTCTGGAATGCTTTTCACATCCAGTGACGGACTGATTTATAGCTTTACGACCAGGCCAAGGCAAGGGTCTGACAGACATCATGGAACCAGCTAATTGGGTTTACAACCATGAAGCATATCCAGCGGTGCCCTGTGCACTTCTGAACTCAGCACACACACAGACCACATGCCATTCAAAAAAGGGAGGGGGAAGGCTGGACGGAGTGAGAGTGATATTTCAGAGTATGATACAAGATGGTAGATCTTTAACAAAATGGTTGTCCGTGTCCAATCGCCACAGGCTTAGCTACCTTAGATCCAGTGAAGGGAACTCTTAAGGTATCAGCATACCAAGACATTTTGGACAATTTTATGATCCCAACTTTGTGTTTTAGGGGTTGGCCCCTTCCTGTTCCAAAAGGACGGTGTACTATGCACAAAGCAAGGTCCATAAAAACATGGATGAGCAAGTTTGGGGTGGAGGAACTTGACTGGCCTGCACATAGTCCTCAACCCTATAGAACACCTTTGGGATAAATTAGAGTGGAGGCTGCGAGCCAGGCCTTCTTGTCAGACATCAGTGCCTGACCTCACAAATGCACTTCTGGAAAAATGGTCAAACATTCCCATAGACACACTCCTAAACCTTGTGGACAGCCTTCCCAGAACACACACACACACTGCTCCTTACACCCAAGTCTCTTACCAACATCCCCCGTTGTGTTCCCGGGCTTTTACTTTTATGACCTCCCACCCACCTGCTGAGGATTCATGTGGTTCCCTCCCAGCTTCCCTGTGAAGAAAGTTCAGCTTTCAGCATACAGATCCCAGCCGTCTCTGCACACCTGTATTGGGACTATGAAGAGCAAAAATATTACACACTACCATCTTGTGATCAAATATACAGGTGCATCAATCTTCAATTTCTACTTGTGCTCAAGAGAAAAACTTTAAATTGTTCTCTAGGTGGTATCAGGATCCGGGTATCCATTCACAGAATCTTCCCCTCCTCTAACGAAATCTGTGAGAACTGTCACGGTGAGAGAGGGACATACCTTCATATTTAGTAGGACTGTGGGGCATTGTCAAGAGGAAGATGGGACACCAGACCCCACAATGCAGACAAGCTGAAGGCCGCTATCAAAGCAACCTGGGCTTCCATAACATTTCAGCAATGCCGCAGGCTGATCGCCTCCATGCCATGCCAGATTGATGCAGTAATTCATGCAAAAGGAGCCTCGACCAAGTGCATGCTATACTGTACTGTACACGGATGTACTTTTCAGTAATCCAACATTTATGCATTCATATATATATATATATATATATATGTAATGTTACATCTTTTCTGTAAATATTTTTATTGCACCATTTTGACCTTTTTAGTAATAAATCCTATTTTCTGAAAAGTGTTTCTAAAGCTCTTTAATGCAAACTAAGAATCCCTGTCTCTGAAGAGTGCTACTGTGTGTTTTAAAACCTCTGGATACATCTGTCTGCGGTGACCGTGTGTATTACAGATGATTTGTCAAATATCATAGTGTTACTGTTAAGATTTGTGAGTTTCCTCCTTCTCTGTAAAAAGGTGGTGGTGGCAGTGTGAAGAGTTAAGTGCGTAATTAACCTAACCCAGTAACAATTGCTCTCAGGCTGCGGGCACATAGATTGTGGTCCAGTGAGCTGGAAAATCTCTGTGCAGGGGGCAGCTGAGAGTGTCATTGTTACGCAAGTGGCAGCACGGTTTTAGTTTTGCTAGTCCTTCGGTCACAAGTTGGTGAGAAGGGCTGGGGTCTGACGCCACGCCCGTCACAAAGCCCAACCCTTGAAAACACTGCACCATAATTCCCCCTCCATCAAACGTTACACTTGACACAATGAAGTCAGGCAAATACTGTTCTCCTGGCAACTGCAAAAGCTAGACCGTCCATCGGATTGCCAGACAGAGAAGTGTGATTCGTCACCCCAGAGAATACATCTCCACTGCTCTAGAGTCCAGTAACGGCGTGCTTTACGTCACTGCATTCGACGCTTTGCATTGAACTTGGTGATGTAAGGCTTGGATGCAGCTGCTCGGCCATGGAAACCCATTTCATGAAGCTCTCCACTCACTGTTGTCCGTATTTGAAGGCCACACAAAGTTTGGAGGCCTTTAGCTATTGACGCTGAAGACAGTTGGCGACTTCTATGCATTGTGCTCTTCAGCATGCGCTGACACCGCTCTGTCATTTTACGTGGCCTACCACTTCGTGGCTGAGTTGCTGTTGTTCCCAGATGCTTCCATTTTGTTATAATACCACTAACTGTTGACTGTAGAATATTTAGTAGCAAGGAAATTTCACAGATGGACTTCTTGCACAGGTGGCAACCTATCATGGTACCATGCTTGAATTCACTGAGGGATGGAGACTGTCTTCCCTGGGACTGTATTCTCTATAGTGAGGTGTGGAGACTGTCTCCCCTGACACTGTATACTCTATGGTGCTAGAGAAGAGATTGTTTCCCCTGACACTGTATACTCTATGGTAAAAGGTGGAGACTGTCTTCCCTGGCACTGTATAGTCTATGGTGAGGGGTGGAGACTGTCTTCCCTGGCACTGTATACTCTATTGTGAGGAGAGGAGATTGTCTCCCCTGACACTGTATACTCTAATGTGAGGGGTGGAGACTGTCTTCCCTGGCACTATATACTCTGTGGTGCAGTAAAGGAAATTGTCTCCCCTGACACTGTATACTGTATGGTGAGGAACGGAGACTGTCTTCCCTGGCACTGTATTCTCTATAGTAAGGGGTGGAGACTGTCTCCCCTGACACTGTATACTCTATGGTAAAAGGTGGAGACTGTCTTCCCTGGCACTGTATAGTCTATGGTGAGGGGTGGAGACGGTCTTCCCTGTCACTGTATACTCTATGCTGCAGGAAAGGAGATTGTCTCCCCTGACACTGTATACTCTATGGTGAGGGGTGGAGACTGTCTCCCCTTACAATGTATGGTGCTAGAGAGGTGATTGTTTCCCCTGACACTGTATACTCTATGGAAAGGGGTGGTGACTGTCTTCCCTGGCACTGTATATGCTAGGGTGAGGGGTGGATTCTGTCTTCCCTGGCACTGTATACTCTATGGTGCAGTAAAGGAGATTTTCCTTTGGTGAGGGGTGGAGAATGTCTTCACTGACACTGTGTACTCTATGGTGCTGGTGAAGAGATTGTCTTCCCTTGTACTGTATGCTCTATGGTGAGGGGTGGGGACTGCTTTGGGGGTGTTTTTCTCCTAAGGGGACAGGACAACTGCACCGCATCAAAGGGATGATGGACGGGACAATGTACCATTAAATCTTGGGTGAGAACCTTCTTCCCTCTGCCAGGGCATTGAAAATGTGTCGTGGATGGGTGTTCCAGCATAACAATGACCCAAAACACACGACCAAGGCAACAAAGGAGTGGCTCAAGAAGAAGCACATTAAAGTCCTGGAGTGGCCTAGCCAGTCTCCAGGCCTTAATCCGATTGAAAATCTGTGGAGGGAGCTGAAAGTTCGAGTTGCCAAACGTCAGCCACCAAACCTTAATGACTTGAAGAGGATCTGCCAAGAGAAGTGGACCAAAATCCCTCCTGGGATGTGTGCAATCCTGGTGGCCAACTACAGGAAACAAATAAATAAATAACCTCCTTCACTGTGATCCCACCAAAAAGTCACACTTTCTCCCTAGAAAGTTTACTAATAATAAAACCTTTTTGTGATATACCCTAAAATCATAATAATATATCAAATACAAAAATAAATCAAATTAAACCCAAGTGTCCAATTCCTATAAAGTCTCCAATGTGTCCAAAAAAGTCCAAAGTTCCAAACTTTCATCCAATAAGAAGGATTGGCTCCTATTTAATCTATAAACCTTCAGTTTACGCCTCTTGATGTAATCCCCCGTGGATTTCGAGGTGTGTTTAGGATCATTATCCATTTGTAGAAGCCATCCTCTCTTTAACTTCAGCTTTTTCACAGTTGGCATCAAGTTACCATCCAAAATTTGCAGAAATTTTATTGAATCCATTTTTCCTTCTACTCGTGAGATGTTCCCTGTGCCACTGGCTGCAACACCCCCCCAAAGCATGATTGATCCAACCCCATGCTTAACAGTTGGACAGAGGTTCTTTTCATTAAATTCTGTGCCCCTTCTTCTCCAAACGTACCTTTGCTCATTCTGGCCAACAAGTTCAATTTTAACCTCATCGGTCCACAGAACTTGTTTCCAAAATGCATCAGGCTTGTCTATATGTTCAAAGTTCAAACGATGATTTTTGTGGTGAGGACGTAGAAGAGGTTTTCTTCTGATGACTCTTCCATGAAGATCATATTTGTACAAGTATCTCTTTATAGTGGAATAGTGTACCACAACTCCAGTGTCTGCCAGATCTTTCTGGTGGGATCGTGCAGTCAAACGTGGGTTTTGAATTGTTTTTCTCACAATCCTGCGAGCTGTTCTGTCTGATATTTTTCTTGGTCTTCCAGATCTTGCTTTAACTTCCACTGTTCCTGATGACTGCCATTTCTTAATTACATTCCGAACAGAGGATATTGACATCTGAAAACGCTTTGCTATCTTCTTATAGCCTTCTCCAGCTTTGTGAGCGTCAACTATTTTCAGTTTCAGTTTTCTAGACAACTGCTTAGAAGAACCCATGGTGCTGATTGTTGGGGCAAGGTCAGATGAGTCTGGGCATTTAAAACCTCTGAGATTGACATCACCTGGTCTTCCCAGACGATGATTGAGAACAATCCATGACACTGGCAGGTCTCAGCTTTGCCAAGGGGGCAGTGCATGCTATAAATTCTGCAGGGTGCCCAAACTTTTGCAGACGCAGTTTTTTTGTTTTCTGTTATTTTGAAAGTGTAAATGATAGAAATAAAATCTAACTTTTGTTGACATATTATAATAATGTCTAATCTGTAATTTGATGCCTTTTGGAGATTTTTCCATCTTTCCTTGGCTTCTTTATGCACATTAATACAAATTTTTAGCTGGGGTGCCCAACTTTCGATCCCCACTGTATATGTGTGTATCTGTACATCTGCCTGCATGTATGTACATGTATGTGTGTACGTGTCTGTGTGCATGTACGTGTGTTTGTACATGTCTGTGTATGTATGTACATATGTCTGTGCGTGTGTATTTCTGTGTATGTACATGTATCTGTGTGTATGCGTGTCTGTCCGTGCCTGAGTGTGGGTACATGTGCCTGTATGTGTGTGTATGTACATGTCTGTGTGTATAGGTGTCTGTTTGTGTGTGTTTGTTGGTGGTGAGTAACTATAAGGCCTGGCTAGTAGCTCAAGACTTGAAATTTTAAGCCCTGCTCTATGGGGCAGAAGAGGAGATTGTCTCCCCTGGCACTATATACTCTATAGTGAGGGGTGGAGACTGTCATCCCTGGTACTGTATACTCTATGGTGCAGGAGAGGAGATTGTCTCCCCTGACACGGTATACTCTATGGTGTGGGGTGGAGACTGTCTTCTTTAGCTCTCTATACTCTATGGTGTAGTTCGGGGTCATAGGGTGTACATCCGGGCGAAGTAGTCTGTGCGGACGGAAGTAGTTAAGAGTTGCCGGAGTTCATTGAATTTCACCATTGTAAGGTGCGGTGATGTAAGTACACTGTTGGCTGAGATCAGGTATGCTGTGTGGTGAAGCCCCGTTTGCCGAGTCCAGAAAAGGCAGCGCAGTATGAAGCTATGGAGGCGCCTGAGAGTGACAAGCAAGTGCAGTGAAGGCGCTCCCTGGCTGTCATAGTACCAGTGAGGATGAACACCTCGGACTGCTTTGTGTGGAGCTCCCGGGGGGGGGATTTTGTAGAATTGTATTAGTCCCCAGACACACAGCGGTGATGAGCTCGTGTTCCCTCGCACTGGTACAGTGATGTATTCATAACTGTACACCTTTTAAGCCCTAAAGGGTGTTTATTTTATTTATCTCATACACGTGGCCATTGACTAGTTGCTGTGTCTTCAAGTGTAAAATTCACTGCTGTACCTGTATCCATATTAATCGCTTCTAGATCTGTGTTCACCCACGCATGCACGTTCGCTGTTACCTGAATGTGTCACTTTTGTGTTCAGCAGATACGCTGTACACGTGTGGGTAGGCATTGATGCACACCTTTTGTCTCTGCCCCCAGTTCAGTGAGCACACGTTTTGCTTTGCTGTTGTGGATCTCAGGCAGAGCTCACCTAATTGCGCCCCCCTCCAGTTCACACATCATTGTCAGACTTTACAGTTTCATGTAAAAAGTGGTTTGAAAATGTAAAAGAGCAGTAGAGAGTGCACCAGATTTGGCACAGTTTAACACGATTCTAAATGTATTTGTTGTTTAAGAACACAAATGGCATCGCAGTCCCAATCCTCCTCTTCTCGGGTCTCCTGACAGCACTCCTGGCCTCTCTTCTCCGCCAAGTGCCAGCCATAGCATGCTGCTTGCGAATGGGGCATTTGTGCAGGTTCGCTCCCGAGCCGCCTCTGTGTCCCCATAAGACACAGAGTGAGGATAGGCCCCGCGAACAGCACCCACTGCTTTCTCTAAGCCAAGGAGAAGTGAGAGAGCCTTGGCTCTCATACACATTGCTGGATCAAGATCGGGCTTTGGAGGGCTGCATTCAGAAGGCTTTTTTTTTTTACCGTTGTGCATAGAAAAAAAGTCAATTACTTAGTATGCAGTACCAGGACAAGTTCATTTAGTGCCCAGGGCAAGGATGTGGAACTGCACGGCCTCTCCCACTGTTAATGCATGCTGTACAATGGCTTACTGCTCTGTGTCCTTTCTCTGCCCCCTTGTTTTGCTGTGCCCAGGGCAGCTGCCCCTCCTGCCTACCCCTTGTCCCAGCTCTGGCTGTATGCATAATTCAGAGTTCAATTCCTCTTTAAGCCTTAGCACTGTGATATATTTGTTACAAGCACATTTGATGTATAAAGGAGTAGCAAGTTGAATCTCGCGTAACAAAAATTTATCTCTTTAACCCCTTGTCGCCGACACCTCCCAGCCCTTTAGGGGGTTGTGATGCCAGGAGGCAGTTTGGGGTTTAGGATCATGTAACTGCCGTGATTGGCTTTCACATTGGTCATATGATCAGAAAGGTCCCAATCACAAGTAGTGATCGAGACCTTTCCATGAGGCACCGGTAAATGTGCTGGGAGCTAGTAGGGCATGCACTCTCAGCACATGTTGGGATACTTTTGGTACACCAATATACGGCCGCTCAGTGTCAAGGCCCAGCCACCAAGAGGCCGCATATTTGCGTACTGTCGGCATCAACAGGTTAAGCTTTGAGACATCTCTAGAGGATGCTATTAAGTATACGTGAGTCTTTAGTAAAATTAAAATATGATTTCTTTCTATAAAATATACATAAATACCGACATTGTATTTTATGTCTTTAACAGCCTGTTCAGATAAAAACAATGTCCTCAGATAGTAAGAAGAGAAAGCCAAAAGTTATTAGGGGGGAAGAAGGAAAACGGAGCCGTCATGAAGAGCAGGTAACATAGAGAATATTTTTACGTTTGTAAAGAAACTTTTTACTTCCAAAGTACATTGTGAGTGCTGATTAAATATCAGCAAGCACAAATAGCTGGTAGAATGCTAGCATTTGGATTTTATATATTTACCTTAAGTGGTCATTTTTTTCTCCTCAATAAAGGAGGGAAGATACTACAGTGAAGAGACTGAGGTGGACTCACGTGACCCAAAAAAGGACTACCTGCTATACAAGGAAACCTGTGAAGAACTACATAGACTTATGGCTGAAATTCAGGACCTTAAAAGCAAGGGCAGCAAAGATGCAGTGAGTGTTTTGGTCCAGCACTGGACATTTGTGTTATGAATTGCTGTACTTTTTTAAGCTTAGTACTAATTAAACGCTTCCAGCCCGGCCCATGTACGTAAACGGGTGGACATTTCTAGTTGTCCTCCTGCATCAGAGGCTTGTGTGCGCCTTGCAAAGCTCTCACCCAGCAGTCCAGTGATCAGCGTGTCCCCCAGACACAGTGGATCACATTACTGCTGTGTCTGGATGATTACATGGTGTTTTATCATGTGACTGCTGTGTCCAGTCATAGCAATCACATTGTAAACATGCCAAACCGAAAGTAAAGATCAGTTCTTTCTGCTCTCACACAGATCGGCTGTGAGAGCAGAGAGAACCGTTGATGCAGCCTGTGAGTGTACACTGCCTGTCACAGTGCATGTACACTCAGACTGCAGTGCTGACCAGTCCTAGTGTCCCTGATCACTGCCCCCACTGTAATGTCATCAAAGCTTACAATAACACTGACGTACACCATAACAACATCCTGATCACTGCCATACCCCATACCATCGCCATGATCACTGTCATTTGCCATAGCAGCACCCTGATCACCCCATACCTCATATCACGTCCTGATCACCGCCATACCTCATACCAGTGTCCTGATCACCGCCATACCCCATACCAGCTTCCAGCATTTTTGGGTTTCAACTGATTTAATTTTCAAATACAGTGCCTTGAAAAAGTATTCATACCCCTTGAAATTTTCCACATTTTGTCATGTTACAACTAGAAACGTAAATGTATTTTATTGGGATTTTATGTGATAGATCAACACAGAGTGGCATATAATTGTGAAGTGGAAGGAAAATTATCAAGGGTTTTCAAAATTTTTTTACAAATATCTGAAAAGTGTGGCGTGCATTTGTATTCAGCCCCCTTAAGACCCCCTGATGTCTCACCTGCCCTCAGGTGAAGGTAATAGAGCATGATCTGTGCTCCATTAGATTCTTTCCTGCTCACAGCATGGAAAAGTGACACCTGAAACTGGAAGAGAAGATCTACACAATGCTTCTGGGTTCTTCGCAGCTAGGGAAGATCAGTGAATGAAAGTATGGTCGGGAAGGGGTCAGGCAGCTGTAAGAAAGCTTGTGGAATATACACACACTCCTAGCTGCTCACCCCCCTGCACCACCTGTTGCCACCAATGTAAGCCTTACTTTGGTGGCAGTAAAAGGGTTAAAGAAACTCCTGACTCTCTATAAAGTTGTTCACTTATTATATACACACTAGTAAAAACAACCCTAAAAAAAAAAAAAAAAAAAAAAGAAAATTGTGTGCCTTTTTTTACATTTTATTTAACTTTTATTAACTCTAGTCATCCCATAAATAATCCTTTCTTCTTTTTCCCTTTAGCCATTCTATTTATACTGCTTTTTTTTCTGCATGCGATAACATAAATGTTGTTTTTTGTGTTTTTTTTTTTTTTTTTTTTTACACTAGTTTTGTAATTAACTTTGCAATGCTTTGTACAATAATCATAATGTTGTGTAAGTGGGGACGTATTATAGAATAAAAACAGAAATCCTGCTTAATAATTTGCAATTTTTCATATTTATACTATGCAATATTTCATATTTACATAAGAATATTATAAATATATATTTTAATAATTTTTAATATTAATGAGAAAATTAAACAGGGTCTTGCAGATTAGCTATACAAGCAGCTAAGGGATATCCAAAATATACTTGTTAAGACTTGTCAGTTTATTCTCCTGATACAGGCCATTCCAAAGCATACACTAAATCTTGTGAAGAAATGCAAAGTGTTTACATGCCTTTGCAGTTTGGGGAAAGAGTGGGCAGTAGAAACGTGACAAGTCTTAAGTATATTTTTTGGCTATACCTTAGCTGTTTGTATAGCTAATCCAGACTTTCTCATTAATATTAAAAATTATTAATATATATTTGTAATATTCGTATGTGAATATGAAATATTGCATATAATATGAAAAATTGCATATTAATAAACAGGATTTATAGAGCACCAGCAGTTTGCAATATCAGGGGGGGTACAGTAACAATACAATTCAATACAGAACGAATAGGAGGGCCCTTTTCCTGGTGTTTACAATCTAATATTATGTAGCCATGTATCCTTCCAGAAGGTGGCAATCTAGTCTGCTTTTCACATCTTTAGATTACTTCTTAGTTGTAAATACATGCCACAGGGATGGTGGAAAACTGACTCACTTGCACCCCTTGATGGCTACCGCACATAAATCTGACATGTCCAAATGCAGATTTTCATATTTAGTTTATAAATTATGCAAGTTTATTTTATTTTTCGTTTTAGTTCAAAAACATACAAAGTAAAATATATATACAAAATTCTGTACATTCTATTTAATACATTGGACATGAAACCTTTGATCTAATCCTTTCTATAGTCCGCAGAAATAGAAGAGAGGCGGATCAAGAGCTGTGTGCACTTCATGACACTGAAGAAACTAAATCGTTTGGCCCATATCAGACTAAAGAAAGCCCGAGACCAAACCCATGAGGTATGTGTCACTTTTCAACACATGAGATTACCAGCTGTCTTCAGCACTATTGTGTTAAAGGATACGTTCACCTTCTGTATAAAGTTGTGCTCAAAAGTTTGCATACCCTTGGAGAATTGGTAATATATTGTACAGTATGTACCATTTTTAAAGACAACATGAGTGAGAAGGAAAACACATTTCTTTTATATCTTATGGGATTGTAGACAAATGAAAGGACCCCTGTTAAAAAGTCTGCATACCCTTAGTTCTTAATACTGTGTATTGCCCGCTTTAGCATCAATGACAGCATGTAGTCTTTCGTAATAGTTGTTTGTGAGGCCCAAAATTCCTGCAGGTGGTATAGCTGCCCATTAGTCTTGGCACAATGCCTCCAGGTAATGCAAAGTCTTTGGATGAACCTTTTGTTTGAGATCTCCCCACAGTGGCTTAATAATATTAAGGTCAGGAGGCTGCGATGGGCACTCCAGAACCTTCACATTTTTTCTGCTATAACCACTGGAGGGTTAACCTGGCCTTGTGCTCAGGATCATTGTCGTGCTGGAAATTCCAGGAGCCTTCCATGCGCAGCTTTTGTGCAGAAGAATGCAAATTGTCTGCCAGTATTTTGTGATAACATGCTGCATTCATCTTGCCATCAATTTTCACAAGACTCTCCTGCCTTTTAGAGCCCCCACCTCCCCAAAACTTCAGCCACCATGATGCTTCACAGTGGGGATGGTATTCTTGTTTCCAAACTTACTGCTTTTGGTTGTTACTTTGTATTTTGGTCTTGTCACTCCAGATTAGTTTGCCAGAAGCAAAAAGTATGCCAAAAGTATTGTCAGGCATTTTGTAACCGGGCTCTTTTGTGGCATTGGCGCAGTAAAGGATTCTTTCTGGCCATGCGGCTAATTTTTGTTCAAGTATCGTCGTATTATTCTCCTTGAAAAAATGACAACATCTTTTTCCAGAGCAGCCTGTATTTCTCCTGAGGTTACCTGTGGGTTTTTCTTTGTATCAAGAGCAATTCATCTGGCAGTTGTGGCTGCAAACTTTCTTGGTCTACCTGACCTTGGCTTGATCTCAAGGGATCCCTGAATTTTCCACTTCTTAGTGATTGATTGAACAGTAATCTCTGGTATATTCAAAGCTCAGTATCTAGCCTGCTCAGTGTATCCACATGAGAGCCAACAAACTCATTGATTATTTATACACAGACAATTAAAAAAAAAAAACACAGATGTGGAAAAATAACCTTTAATTGCTATTCTAACCTGTGTGTGTCACCTTGTGTGGTTGTACCAAGGGCAAACATTACAGGGTATGTAAATTTTTGATCAGGGCCATTTGGGTGATTTCTGTTATTCTGATTTAAAAAGGAGCCAAACAACTATGTGATAATAAATGGCTTTGCATGATCACTATCCTTAACCCCTTCACGCCGCCCGTATGCAAATATGTGGCCTCACTTGACTGGGCCTTTTTCCATGGAGCTGCTAATTTGCATACCTGTCTTTGCGCTGGGAGCGCTTCGCATGGCGCTCTCCCAGCACAGAGACCGGCGTCTCACTGAGAGCCCAGAGTCCTCTGGTAATGATTGGGACCTGAAACTCCCGATTTCTGGTCGCCTGATCGCTGTGATAGCCAATCAGAGGCTATCACCATGAACAGTCACTGTGAAGTTGGCCCTGTGTTTTTCTCTCTCTGAATGGAGGAGAGAGATGCATTGTATCTC